CTAGGAATGATACCCATTGAAGCTGTCACTAGACACCAAGCCCAGGTACAGACTACCAATAATGTGGCTCAATGGAGTCACGAATCTACGAGTGAGGATCTAATTAAAAGCCAGAAAGAAGATCCTATACTTGGGATCTTCTATAAGCACATTGAAGATCCTAGTAGCAATCCCATATCGGAGGAGGATTATGCCCAAAAAGAAGACCTCCGATTACTCATGAAAACCAAATCTCAATTTAGTATGCGAGATGGTTTGTTAATGAGAACTTCAAAGAATGGGATTCAACAGTGGGTTGTTCCCACTATATTTAGAGGCCTAATGTTACAACATGCTCATGATGCTCCTACAGCAGGTCACCGTGGTGAGAAGATTACCTACGAATTGCTACGTGACTATGCTTATTGGCCTCATATGTTGAAAGATGTCCAAACTTACTGTCAAGGTTGTCTGGTTTGTGCTCAGTTCCAACCTCAAGGTCCTACACATCGTGCCCCACTTCAGAGAAAGGGTTTCTCACTGCCAGGGTCCGATATACAAGTTGATTTTATAGGTCCTGTCACTAGGTCCTCCAGAGGAAACAAATACATGTTAACGGTCACTTTTGTTTTTACCAAGTGGGTAGAGTGTTTGCCGGCTCATAATAACACAGCCGAAACATGCGCCACGTTGCTTATTAACCATGTATTTTCCAGATACGGGCTACCGTTAAGAATTGATACAGACCGAGGATCCCATTTCATAAGTGAGGTAATGTCCAGGATGTGGAAAATCTTGGGTGTAAAACGGAAATTACACATTGCTTATCGTCCAGCGTCAAGTGGATCAGTAGAGCGCTATAACCAGTCAATTGTCAATATCCTTAAGAAATTCGTTAAGGAATCAGGTAAAGACTGGGATATGAAGTTGCCTTTAGTGCTCATGGCTATCAGGGCCACTCCAAGTACTGCCACTAAGATGTCACCCTTTGTGCTGATGACAGGTAGGAAAATGGTACTTCCACAACATCTGTTGTATCGCACATCGGATCATAATCTGATCAATGCAGAAGCTTCTCCGCATTCTTTGGTCCTGCCAATTATAGCAGCGTACCATGATACTGGAGATTGTTCACTAATTTTTAGCTAACTGAAGGATAATGAACCAGTCGCTACATCATATATATAGCATAGCTAGAGAATTGAAATATCAATTGAAGAAAATATGTACTCATATTATTTGCTTAAAAAAAAAAAAAAAAAAAAGAGGCCACGTCTTTTGGCGAATATGACATATTTTCTGAACTTTTTCCCAGATATGTCTAAGGTTATACACCTGAATAGCTGTGAAGAAGGGGGGGATTATGTCAGAACTATTGGGCCAAAAGGAATCCACTGACTGAGCAGAGGTGGAGAAAGGATGTGGGGACCGGCCTTTTAGCCAGGCAGGACCAAGGATAAGCTATATCTTTATATAGCAGTTAACCCTGCAGCACAGGGGTAGCCCAACTGCAAAGGTTAATTTTGTTTCTGCCTGGCGTTCTTCTAGTATATTTCCACTTTTGCAGCCAAATTGGGATAAAACCTATTTTATATTTGCTATATGTTCCCATTCACATAGCATAACATTATAAAACAATAAAAATCGCTGCCATTTTTCAGTTTTAAGCGCTGTGGCACTTTGGCTGACGTTTATTCCATTATGCAACGCTGTACTGAAATACATTTTATACCATTTTTGGGGACAGATAGAGCTTTCTTTTGGTGGTATTTAATCAGCACTGACTGGGGTTTTTTATTTTTTACTATATTAACCTCCCTGGCGGTCTGATTATTCAGGATTTTAGCATGCCAAAGCGGTACATTATTTTTCATGGCAATTTGTTGTTTTATATTGTAGGCCTGTAATTCTTAGCAGGGCCACCGTCAGGGGGTACGGCCGATACGCAAGTAAGGGGCCCGGCGCCGCCTGAGGGGCCCCGGCCGGGTACCTTGCATGAGTATCGGCCGACGGCCGTACAAGTGACTGGCAGGAGGTGGAGGCGGCCGGGCCGCCGCAGCACCGGAGGAAGCCCAGGGCCCGCACACTCGAGATCCTCACCTGGGGTGCTCTCTCTGTGCGGGCCTCCGGTGTCCCCCTGTCTCATGTCTGCCTCCACTGCAGTGACTGACTGCACATTACGTTTTTTTTGCCGCGAGTAGCGGCGGCCATCTTTAAACCTGGCAAGTGCCCACATCTCATTTAATATATTGCCGAAACGGCAATATATTAAATGAAAATAATTCCCTGGTGGTCCAGTGGAGAATCAGTATGGTCTGCATCTCTTGCTGATGCAGATCATACTGATCGCTCCCTCGTGGTGCCGATGTAATCATAGCGGATTACATTGTATTGTGTGTATTCTGTGTACATTGCAACTTTTCACTTTTGAATTTCCCGCCGGCTGTGACGCCCGAAAACGAAACTAAAAGTCAGATACCGGCATCGGCCGGCCGCGTACAGCAGAGGACGCCGCGAGCTCGCAGGGACAAGGCAAGTGACACTTTTCTGTGCATTCCCGAGTCTGGCTCGGGGTTACCGCTCCTGGTATTGAAAATTAACCCCGAGCCAGACTCGGGAATACCGCCAGGGAGGTTAGGGAAAAATTACCGAAATTTTTTGAAAAAAACTCCCTATATTAAATTATGAAACATTTATTATTACCCAATTTTTTGTTAAAATATAAAAGACGGGGTCACGTCGGGTAAATAGACACCAAACATGCCAAGCAGTAAAATTGCGCACGCCCACGAAACCTAAAAAAACTACAATACCCAAAATTGGCCATAGGCAACGCATTATAAGCTTTTACAGCTTAGTGTTATCAGTGATTGATAGGCCGAAAATGATTGCTCTTGCTCCGACGTTCACGCTGATATGTAACATGTGTAGCGCAATTGTCTATTTCCCCTGTGGCGCACATGACACGTATTTACTTTTTAAACTTTTTTTACACTTAGGGGTCTATTCACTAAGCTGCCGAAGGATCTAGCCGTAGCTTCGGCTGATCCTTCGGCTAGCTTCAGCCCCAGGACCCCTTCGGTTCAGTAGAACCGAAGGGCTGCTGTACGGGCTATTCACTATAGCCCGTACAGCTCCCGAAGTTGGCCGAGCGGTTCAGTCGAGACGAAGGCATATGCCTCGAATCGACTGAGCCGAGGTGAAAGCCGAAGCTGGCTGAATTGGCCGGCCATTGGCAGGCCGACAGCCTGCATCTGACAGCTGGGCGGAGCCAGCTGTCATCTCACGACTGGCTCCAGCCACTTGCAGATGCAGGCCACTGCAGATGCAGTTACCAGCGTCCCAGCGCTGGTTATCACAGCGGTCTCTCTGGGTTCTCAGTGTGTAATGACAGATGGCGTCCCTGGTTACCTGGTAGCTATCTGTCATTACTCTCCCGGACGCTCTGGGAGTCTAATGCGGCTGCCGGCCACGCAGGAGAGAAACACTTTCTCTCGGAAAGGTTTACTCTGCTCGATCAAGCAGAGTAAACCTTTCCTTGCGATTTGTTTTTTTTTCTGACATGGGGCCAGCATAGGAATGCACAGCTCGATTCCTATTGACTATTTCGCTTTGCAATAACCAATAGCAAACTAGCTATTGCACCCGGCCACTGCTGCTGTCAATCAGCAGAGGGGGACCTGCAGTTCTCCATCAGGTCACCTTCTGGTGATTGACAGCAGCAGAGGGCGGGTGCAATAGCTAGTTTGCTATTGGCTATTGCAAAGTGAAATAGCCAATATGAACCTAGCTATGCATTCCTGTGGTGTTTTTTTGTTTGTTTTGTTATTCTGTCAGCAGCCGAACCACCCAGCCAATAGAAAACAGTTGGTCGGTGCTAGCTGTCACTGCTAGCTCCGCCCAATCGTTTTCTACTTTTTAACTGTTTTTCTATTCTGCTCGGTAGCACAGAGGTACCGGGCAGAATAGCCAAGCCGAATACCTGTTAATGTTATTGCTATCACACATAGGGATAATAATCCCCCTATGTGATAGCACAGACACACTGATAGGTCCTCTTTATGGAGACATTAGGGGTCTCTAAGACCCCTAATGTCACCTGGGGACCCCCAAAGAAGCTCATGAGGCAGAGATCTGCTTCACCAGCTTCTTCTCTGGCTATAGCAGCCAGAGAAATGACAGTAGAATGCGGAGGTGATGTTTTACACATCACCTCCGCATTCAGACGTCGGAGGGAGATCAGCAAGGTGGAAGATGCAGCGGAATCCAGGATTGTCTGTCACGATCAGACCCGCCAAAAGGAAACTCTGTTTCTGGTGAGTGCTTTTTCACTAGGAGATCACTGATGGTGATTGATTAAGCATTTTTGAAGACAGCACATTGTGTTTTGTAAGTTTCTGGGATTCTTTTTTTGGACAATATTTTGGCACTACAGAGATTTTAAGGGCAAGTGTGGATCAGGATACTTGATCATAACTCTGGACATGTATATGGACATTTTTTTTACTGAGGCACTTTGTATACCTGTTTTTTTTAGTATAAATTTGAAAAGTATTTATTTTTTAGATCATTTTTAATTTTATTTATTTATATGTCTTTGTGTAGTTTCTAGTGCTGTATTTCTCAGTGCTTATTATATATATGCGTGATATTTATTCACCTGCTTTGGCTTTTTTTTTGGACTTTTAGCACTAGAAGCGCAGAATATTGATTATTTGGTTCTACTTACATTGGCAACCCAAAAAATTGATAGCGCTCATTCCAAAATAGCCTGGTTTACACTGATCACAGCGGATTCCTTCTACATTTTGTTTGCATAGGCATGTCCCTGCAATGATTCCCAGTTTGCGGTTTGTGTGGCCCTCACATATTCCACCACCGTGTGTTCCGCCTGGGTCACAGTCACAGGCTATAGGAAAAGCAGAGATAGCAATGTTCAAGATAAATGTTATGTAAATTATGGGGGGAAAATACAGTCTGTTAAAATTTGCAAATATACAAATGCCAGCTCACACCCACATGCACATTACCAAGCTTACTATGTTTTCCTAATGTATAAATACACAAGTAACATTATAGCTTAGAATTTTATGAGAACATATTCCACTAAACAGTTGCTTCTTAGAGATAAACAAACATATGTGTTAGTGGTTTGCATTCTTTGGATTTCAAATGAGATAAAAATGTTGTACCAAAATTCTAATATGTGATTTAAATGCATGTGAGAGTCAAAGTACTGGTTTAAAGTGACACTAAACTCCGGGGTTAAATCTTAAAAATGCATTCAAGTACCTTAACTTTTAATAAAAATGTATCTTATTTGTGTATCAATTGGCTGTAGATCCTCAAATCATCTCTTTGCCATGGTCATCTTGTAAAGTAGCCACCGCTCCCAGCCCGCTCCTGTGATGGACTACAATCTCAATACAAATTAGTAAACTAAATGTGAGATTGTAGATTCTAGTCTATCACAGGAGCGAGCTTGGATCGGTTGCTATTTTACAACACACACATTGACCTGACCATGGGGAACAAAAGTAGCCCCCCTCCAGAAGGAAGGACAGTGTCAGCACCAATTCAGAGATGATTTGAGGGTCTACAGCTGAGTGATACACAATAACACACTGTTTGTTAATAGTTACGGTACTTGAATGTATTTCTAAGATTTAACTCCAGAGTTTAGTGTCGCTTTAAGAAAAAAAAATGGCTATACTGAATTATTTCTAACACAAAGTGCATTATAAGCACAGAATAAATGAATGATTTTATCTTGGTCAATTGACGGAAAAAAAACTGTGATTGGTTGAAAAGAATCACAAAAGTAATATAACATTTCACTCTACTATAATAATTATTATTAATTGTGCATTGCTTAGACTGTCCCTGTCAATTATTGCTAATCAAAGGGCAGTTGATTTATGCAACTGTCCATAGAAATCTACATCTGATCGCAGGAAATTTCCAGTCATGCAACTTATGCAGATGAAAGCTGCATGAAAATGGTTTGTGTAGCCTGGGCTCTACTACTGTCATAAAGTACTTCAGCTTTGATGAAAACATTTGGACATGTTTTATTTCTCAAATCAAGGGAACATTGGGGTCTATTCACGAAGCTGCTGAAGGATCTAGCCATAGCTTCGGCCGATCCTTCGGCTATCTTCAGCCCCAGGACCCCTTCGGTTTAGCAGAACCGAAGGGGTGCTGTACGGGCTATTCACTATAGCCCGTACAGCTCCCGAACGTGGCCGAGCTGCTCAGTCGAGCCGAACGCATATGCCTCGGCTCGGCTGAGCCGCTCTGAAAGCCTAAGCTGGCCGAGCGGCCGGCCATTGGCCGGCCGACAGCCTGCTTCTGACAGCTGGGTGGAGCCAGTCGTGATCTTACGGCTGGCTCCGACCACTTGCAGAGAGATCAGCGTCCCTGGTTACCTGTTAACATTGTACCCGCCCTCTGCTGCAGTTCTCCATCAGGTCCATCAGCAGAGGGCGGGTACAATGCTAGTTTACTATTGGCTATTGCAATTTGAAATAGCCAATAGGAATCTAGCAATGCATTCCAATGGGCAAAACATTTATTTATTTATTTTTCTATTCTGACATGGCTCCGTGTCAGAATAAATAAAAAAAAAGAAAAAGCAGTGTTTCTCTCCTGGGCGGCTGGGAGCGGGAGGCTCCCAGAGCGACCGAGAGAGTTTTTTTTTCTTTTTTGTTGACGGCAGCACAACCGCCGGACAATAGAAAACTGTTGGGCAGAGCTAGCTGTCATTGCTAGCTCCGCACAATCGTTTT